TTATGGAACTAGTCTCGGACCCAGCACAACGTGATTTTGAACGTGCCAACGAAGTGACCGACGCCTCGGATGAGATTCTAAAGTACAACATCGAGGTTCACCGATCGATTGTGAACGCACGACCTTGGAACAAAGATCCGCACTACTTTAAGTCAGTTAAGATATCGGTGGTTGCGCTCTTGAAGATGCTTATCCACGCTCAATCAGATGGCATTTATGAGGTGGGTTCGCTACCTTCGCGCTTTTTGAAATGAGCCCGCGTTTGTCATATCATGTGATGTGAACGTTTTAATGTACTGGGTTGACATTTGACTCCTTAAAACTCCCTGAAGATATTATTTTCTGGTTTCGTTGGATTTGCATGTCCTCATACCAAGCTATAATGTCTACCTTAGCTATTACCTTTTTCTTCTCAATGATAGCATACCTTGTTTATGTGGTTTTTAACGGTAATCTTCCTTTGTTTGACCCCGACTTTTCTGGAATTCTTGAAGATCTTTTCTTCAAAGTTGACGCTTTTGTTTCTCCTTCTCCGCCTAAAGCTGTGCTCTAATTTCCTTACGGGTTTCTTTATTGGGTTTCCCTTAAGTAGCCGTCTCGTTCAATCTGAGTAAAACTTGGTTACGAGAACACGGAATTTCTAAAACTCTTCTAATCTCTCTATCAGGAAAGGCCCTCCGTCTTAATGCATGCCCATCTGTATTAAAAAATAGACAGAGATTTAGCTTTCGATAGAGGAATTTGTCTCGTTTTCTAAGCAAGGCGCTTATTCAGTACGTCGGATTGGGCTCTCCTCGAGCCGGTTGGTGTCTCTGGGACAAATTAGGTTTGCCGTCTGTTTTTCTTTTAAATTTCGAACAAAAAACCTCCGAGCTGGATACAACTTGGTTCAACAAGAAGTGTCCGAGATTGACCGAGAAAATCTTCGAGATAGCTGTAGATTCTATTAGGCAACTTATGCGCGTGTGCACATAAGACACCTTGTTTACAGGCGCAATCAAATTGACGTTTTATCACTGTCGCCCCTCTTAGTTAATCCTTATCAGAGGTAATCAGTCATTGGGGAAGCAAATGTCGGTTGTCAAGGCTAGCGAGCTGTCGCAGGTGTTGGTCAGAATCCCACCGGTTAAGTGGGATCCGATCATGAGTTGGTGTGCTCCGCATTTAAAAACATTCATTGCTTATCACTGTACTCAGTAGACCCTTGAGTCTTGCGTTTGCTCTCTGTCACGTACACATACAACTATCATCCTTTGTAGGTCATGGGGATGCTTATCGGCAAAGTGGCTCACGAGACGATGATTGTCGTGGACTGTTC